TATGCTTAGCTACCAGCATGTACTACAGCTCTTTGATGAACTGAGGTCTGTGCAAATGCCAGCACAAATACTGATAAAGTTCTTTAAGAACATTTTAAATGTTGATTTGACTGAGGTGTTTATTTACATATGGTTCAATATTTAAGTGCCATGTTTTTTATTAACAAGCCAAAATTAGAACCATAGCCTTTGCATTTCAGTTCCCAAAATTTCTGTACCAGCCAGAAAAGGCTGAGGTCAAAAGCAAATTGCAGCTTTGTTCATCAGGGTGGAGGAGGTCACCAGCTACCCATCTTGGGTAGTGTTCAAGGCCAGGTTGAATGGGGCTTTGAGCTACCTGGTCTAGTGGAAGATGTCCCTGCCCATGGCAGAGGGATTGGAACTATGTGATCTTTTAAGTGCCTTCCAACTCAAACCATTCTATGATCCCACCAGACCTGATACAACAAAGACCCACAGGAGCTGAAAGAGGGCCCAGCAGATCCATGGTGAGAAAAAAAGTGGAGTGGAACAGATGTGCTAGGACAGAACTGGCTTGTGGACAGGGACAAAACCTATCAGTGGCCAAGAGAACAAAGAAATAGGGCCTGAGGGACACTGCCAGTGAGTGAAATAAACCTGCCCAGAGGCCATTCTCTGTAACTGAGGGCACAGAGCACCGCCAAGTTTGCATTTGTGTGGCTAACCATTCTCTTCCCAAAATAAAGACTGACTGTTTAGATATAACATCCTGGCTTCTGTCTTTCCTTGAAATGTGCTCAGGCATGTCAGGGGCTGGCTGGTGGCCCAGCTAGGGAAGTGCTAACTGCTCACCCTGAGTGCCAGCCCAGGGACACACACTTCCTCCCTCATCCTCTTTAGCTTACAGGTAGGGACACAGCCTCAGGTTCTTGAGCAGAGATCAAATTCATTCTATTCAAATTTTGGAGACCTAGCAACATTACATAGCAGTTACATCCATGTACACTTGAAGTTGTCAGGGAGTTAAAAAATAATTGAAAACCAGGACACATCATTAAAAAAAAATAATCTCATGACAGCTTAGCATGTAACACCTGGGTTTTTTCAGTCTTTAGAGAACAATAATTCAGTTTCACCCTTCTGGCTGCTAACCTGAATGAAGACAAACTAAGGTCAAATTGACGATTCTAGCTTGACTCACTCAACATTTAGTTACCGTATCAAGCAGCTCAATTTTTGTTCTTCCTGAACAAGTATTAGAAACCAACAGTGGTGAAACTGTTCATCAACATATAAACAAAACCCGTTTGAAACATAACTGCCAACTATAAATTGTAGTTTTCCATTAGGAAAAAATGAAAGTTATTAATTTAAAGTAAGAAAAAAATGTTGTTTTCCAATCCAGCATATTACATTCATTCAAAGGCTTGATTTTTAAAAATGTATGTAAATGACCATTTGAAACAGCATTATGAAGGTGCCAGAATTTTAGCAAGATATTTTCAGATTTCACAAAACACATGTTAGAAAATTATTTTTGTCACTGTGTTTAGAACCACATATTCTATAGAAAAACTATAACAAAAAAGGAAAGCATGCTTAGAAGTAAAACAGTAAGATTGGGGTGTATTAGTCCATCTATAGATGGACAAAAAATATGAAAGAACTTCAACTTACTGCAAGAGATTCCATTTGCTACACAGCAAGCATGGCACAGGAGAAAAGGAAAGGAAAGAAAGTATAATGTCAGTGTAATGCATGCAATAGGAAGCACAGCCCATCTGTAATAGCATAACTTGTCAGCAGTATTAGCAATGCTTGCCTCAACCTGATAATTGGTTGGAAATATCACATACAACATGCACAGCATTCTTAATAAAATCGAGCTTTAATTCTAATTGTAAATTCCAGTCTAAATATCCTCAGTTAGATCTTCAGATTTATTAGTTTGAATGTATCCCACTAAATAGCTCAGGAACCTACAGTGAAATTGTGCTACAAAACTCTTGAAATAATACTTTTATTTATTTAAATTTCCTTTCTTTTTTGTTAAAAGGAGCTCATATTGCAAAGTACTAAAAAAATTAGGAAGGGTTTTCAAGTCATGAATAAAACTGAACTTCGCTATTTGTAAAAATTTTCTTATTTATAAATACTTCTATTTTTTTGACTTAATAGATCTAAGGAAATTTGCAGGGTAAGCTTTGTGACTGCTGGGCCTATTACTTGGCACATTACAGGGGAAACATTTTGCATATAACTTTAAAATTATGACTATCATAAAGAAAAAAATCCATGGAAAATGCCAGTTTTGTTTAACTACATGGCAATGCCACAAGTTGAGGCAGCTTTTGTTCCTTCCTCTCATCAGTAATGATTCACTGGTTTGTAATTCTGGAGCTACTAAAATGTCAGTGTAAGTCCTGTCACAATAGTAATAAAAATTCTAATTGACCTACATTAACATTTCAAAGATTAGGGGACTAAGTACTCTCTTCCAAAAAAAAGTGTTCCTCTTTTCTTTGCCAAGAACTAACATTTCCACTCTGTGTACATCTTATGCAGTTTTCCTTATTTTGTAAATATTACAATCTCATATTTTACATGAACAGAGTCATCACGTAAATGCTGTAAGTAACAAACACAACATCTGCCCAGTTACAGTCTGATGTCAATGCATATGCACAGAATGTTAATAAACGTCTGGAATTCTTATTAAAATTATTTACCTTATATCCATACAAAGGCAGAAAACAAGAAATATGAAATAATGCTAACTTTGAGGAGCCTAACAAAGTGTTTCAGCCTGTCTTCTTTCCATTGGCCTTATTATTAAAAGGTATATGAAAAGTATTGTCCCAAATGCTTTTCTATAAAATCATGACAAACTAAGCTTTAAAGTCTTATGATGTTTAATTTTATGCCTTTAACATTGCTTGGATAGTTTTTACTCCTACTTAGTACTCTTCAAAAAAACCTCTTTCTATCTTGGCTTCCATGCAGTTCATGTAAATGAAGCTTTATCAAGCTAAATTCAAGACAAGAAGAGGACAAGAGCAGACAGATCACTGTGTTCCAGTAAATTCACAGGTGTGCTGGCTTGAGTTTTTCAAATGTCTCCTCTGTACTGCTTCCAAAACCAGGCAGGCCAAAAAAGGGGCAAGGAAAAACTCAGCAGCAAGGGCTCAGGAGGAATGCTCACAGCCTTTACAGTTTAATCCCTCTATAGTTAGGGAAGCGTTGTAGATTAGTTGATAGACTTTACAGAAATAATGGTTTTGGGAGCTGCAAATACCAAATGTTTAGAGTATCTGGATCATTTGCACAGTTCTTTATGCACCTAGTAAATGCAGCATCTAAGAAGGACACATTCCTTAGCAGCAATGCTTTGATTTAGTTTTTTATTCCTAGAATTGCTGTTTTGTACTGTTAGCAGACCAGGAATAGAGCAAAACACTAATTTTTAGATCACAGATCTTCTTGCTTTTTCAAGGAATCATTTTTAGATACTGAAAGGAAATGACAGTTACATAATTATTCCTTAAGACATTAACACTTGATGGCAACACAGTCTTCAGTCATTTATTGGCACAAGAGAGTCCCGGCATATTAAAGTAACTACTGTGTCCAAGTGTCCAAACTGCAAGTGCATTTTCTTAGGTTATCCTATTTGACTTGGCATGTCAGCAGACAGAACTTTTCCCATGATCTAGGAAATTGAGTATATACACAAACTTGTATATATATCAGAGATAGAACAGCATATGCTGTGCATTCTTAAATATCCACTGGACTTGAAGGATAATAGAAACTATTCTGTCTGGAGAAATCTATACACAGCTGTGTTCCTCCTTTGGAAAAGCGACCTACCTTGGCCCATTTCACCTCATTGTCAATCCATGGAACTGTCAAACAGTAGTCAATAATTGATTATTGATTATTAAGAATTTATAGCTGAACAATGGACTCACTGTGTCTTGAGCTGTACTGTATCTAACTCAACTCCAGATGACTATGGTGCCAGGAGGTACCTCCAGTCTTATTGGTGGCTTAGAGTGATTGAACCTTTAGCTCCAGGGAAACTCATAACAACAGGTACATTCTGATTTTTTTGAGCAAATTTTTATGGATTACAGGATGTTTTAAATATCCATTAACAGTTTGAGTTCGCAAAGCCCACATCCATTAGTTTGTGGTGAACTTTGGGATGAGGCAGGTTTGAGAAAGTGTATACTGACTTTGGACTTCTAGAGTAAACAGAACATCTCATTAGGAGATAAATACTTATTTGATTAGCAGTGTTAATTGACAAGAAAAAGAAGATCTTCCAGTATCTCTTTTCCAAAAAAGCAAACAAAGAAACAAACAAACCCAGTCTTTGACTAGATTAAAAAAATCCCTGCTTAATAAGGCTGAAGTACATACGAATAACTGTACTTATCTAAGACTGTTACACCTGGACAGATAGCACAATAGTAGGTGCAGTTATCTTTCTCCATAAATTGATTCCTATGTCACTGACACTCTGTTTTTCAAAGTAGCATCAAAGCTTAAAAATCACACACATCCAAATCATCTAATCTATTGCAATAATAAGCAGGGGAAAGACATTCTGGAACATTAAACTTTTACCCAAATTTCATACAAGTTGCTAGCTCTAGCAGCTGACCTAGACAACTTCTATTTCAAGTTTCTTTAATGTCAGAATAAGCAATTTTTGCCTTTGCCCGTTTTTGGTAACAGTAACAACGGTCAACAAATCATATGCAATTATTTTGAAATAAGATCTGATTACAGAAAGTGATGCCAAATCACTTAGCAGCATCAGCAGGCATTTGTGATGCAACTACTTGTGATAATGCTGAATTTGTTCTCATGTCTGTCCTATCTGTAGAGGGGACTATTTTCATCTCAAGCTTTCTACCTTCTGTAGAGTAATGTGTTCCTTTTTCTTCCTTACAATTACTTCTGAACCTTTTCCAGAAGTGACCTGGTTGTGTGCTTAGCTTTGCAGTTTCTTTTTTAGGCCAGAAGTTTTCGGAAGACTTTCAGGCTCTAGACTAAACCTCAATGAGTTTAAGAGTTTAGGCAGGTTCCCTTGTGACTACAACTGTAAGATAGATTTCCACACCCCCCCTACAATTATTTGATTCTTTAGCCTTTCATGTTGAGGGAGAAGTGGAGAGGAAAGATAAGAAAACAAATACTTGCCACTCTATGATTAATTTTTCCTTGTCCCTTCCTAATCACATTTCCTCAGTTTCTCTGGCCTCTTCCTCCCATTACACTTTCATTGAATAAACAGACAGTTCCTTTGGGAAAAGCTGCTTCAATTGACATGTTAATGAGTAGGGGAAGAAAGAAATATGCCTGTTGATCAAAGACCTACCATCCTCTCAAATTCCAAAGAATAATGCATTTTGGGCTGAAGGAATAATGCTGGGGAGAAACCAGGAACTCCTGAAGGAATGAGAAACCTTTCTTTTCAGTCTGTCTGATAAGCAGTATAAATATTAACTCTGGCTTCACAAAACACACATTTAATTCTACAACAGAGAATGCCTAGTTAAAAAAACCCACACAAGTGGAGCATGACATTTACTGACTTTTAGATGTGTTTAGGCCAGATATATGAGGTCAGTTCACAGTTTATTCTTTCTCCTCAGCATTCTTTCTCCTCTACTTTTTCAAAAACGAAACAATGTGCGTGATTTTATGGGTTTCCAAAAGAGGGATGTAGAGGATAAAATAAGCTGTCTCCAGCAAGATATGTAACACTAGAGTCTGAAGTCATTGTTCAGGGTATTGTGCATCAGAGGGAAGAGAATGCACATTCATATTCCAATAATGATGCATACTCTATCACCCTCTCCTGATGTGCTTGCAGGAGAGGTAGTAGCATGTATTCCAGGTCTCTCTTTTTTAAATTTGAGAATAGTTCCCTTTTAACTTCCCTGTACACCATTACAATTACAGAACAGACATTATCTTGTTTAAATGCATTGGAAGGTGTCTAACTTCTGCTGGTGCCAATGCTTAGCGGGGGTGGGGGGGAAGATTGAACAGTTTTTCCACTGCCGGTGATTGCAGCCATAGGATTTATTAGCAAATTAGATTTGCTAATAAGGTCAAGGAAGCCAAAATGCAAGTGCAGTAAGGATTCGGGATTCTTGGGAAATGGTATAAAAAAAATAAAAATCAAGGAAGTTCAAATACATAGAGATGGGAAAGAGAGGTTAAGATAAAGACAGAAGAAAATAAAGTGAACTGGGGAAGAAGACAGACAAACTGAAACCAACATAAGAATAAAAGAAGGTATTTGAAAAACATGGTTACAACAGGCAAGTCTGTATTCTGAAAATGTCATAATTATCTTTTATAAGTTAAAATACATGGAAAGAAGACAAATCACTTTTCTTTACATGTTGTTGCTGCTTCCTGGTCTTGGCTAATTTTCTTCAGACCCCTCTTTTTCCTATCCCTCCATTCTTTTTTCTCCAAAAGGAAAAAACTCCATAAAATAACATTTGTCAATTCATTATACATCACCAAGATATCATCTGTTTCCTATACTTAGTATATCAAATAATGGTAATGACTGCTGATGGTAGTGATTTCTGAAATATAGATTTCTTAACTGGAACCAACAAATATAAACAAACAAACAAATATTCACATACATGTGTGTATGATTTTTTGTTAAAAATTGATAAAGAGATATTTTGCCTTAGCCCTTAACACTTATCTACAGTATAAATCATTTCACTGGCCATTTCACAGTCATGTTTCATAACTACTAGTCTAAGAGTATTTCAACCAGGCAAATCTTGCTGTTGAGCAGACCGAGTGTGTAACAGTTGTAGATAAAATGGGAGTAATATAGAAGGACAGTACATCAGGAACGATTTTCAGAGACACTGCACTGTGGAAAACTGCTCCTGCAACATCTTTCTAAAAAGGAGAGCACACCCTACCCAGGCAGGGTTAGCTTTGCTTCCTTGTCTAGATGAGGAAGGCAGAAGTACCTCCTCTGAATATTTCCCATTTCCTGTGGCCAGAACTGAGGCAGCAACAATAACTTCAAGCCTCAAGTGTGAAAACTGGATTATGCCCAAGCCCAGCACAGAGTCAAGGAGGAAGTACAGCAGGCTCCTGTGGGTTCGAGGACAAGATATATCACACATGTCACTTTACAAGGGAGAAATAATACTGGCCATTCATTACCTTCTCTTCTGAGTCGCCTGGCTGGCAGGTAATAACTCCATCTCGTGAGCCTCCAGCAAATGTTGCTTTGCAGTTTGCAAGCCACTGTTTTGAGAGAGAAATTAAAGAAGATATGAATAAGACCTACTATTTAATTCAAAGAAAGATAAGCTGTATTTTAGTTTCAAAGCACAGCATGTAAACAAAAGTTTGCAATTGCACTTTTTATTACCACAGACTGCAACAATTTGCTTTGACTGTAATTTAAAGTGTAGTTGTAATTTCTATTACTATTTCAATTGCATAAACTAAGAAAATTAATTAATGAATGAACAGGAGAGAGACTAGGAATATTAAAGATACCAATGTTTCTAATATTAGGGGATACAATAGCTATTTTTTTAGCTCTGGTCCATATGTTCAGGAGGAAACTTTCCATAAATCCAGTATCTGAAACATGTTTTTGTACTGAATGTTAGTCTAAATAGATGTGAGTGGATGTGCAGTTTCCTGACATAGCATAAGTATACAAACATACAAAACCAAGAACATAATATAATTCGGCATACCGAGAGTGTTGCCTCTTTCCTGTTATTATATGTGTCCAGGTACTCCTGCAGCTCTAAAACACTGAACTTCAGCTTTTCAAGAAGCCCACAAGAGAGCAGCTGGAGAAATGAAATCAAAAGGTCTAGTAAATGTTACTATAAAAGAACAAAAATATTAGCATAGTAGAAAGTATAGTAAAGATATTGCAAAAGAACACTTAGATTTACAGATACTAATACTGAAAAATATTTATATTTATGCAAAACCCTAAATAAATAGAACAGTAAGTTGAAAAGTGAATAGCAAAAGTTGCACCTATGATAATGTGGAATTGAAATTGTGTTCTGTGTTTAATGGATTTGCAGAGGACTTCCCTAAAATAAAACAGCGCACAAAGCTTAACCAGTTACTCTCCACAGCTCTCTGAGGATGTAAGATACAGCTCTTCCATGGTCACAGCAGTAGGCCCAAGATTACACTTTACCAGTTCCTACCTCTAGACTTCTCTGTGGGAGGTCACACTGTCCTGACGCTGTTGGATAAACATGAGCCAGAACGAAGACAGTGGGAAGGGCCATCTCATTCATTCCCTAATATATACTTATAAAGAATCACAGAATCATTAGGTTGAAAAAGACCTCCAAGATCATCAAGTCTAACCTTTGACCAAATACCATCATGCCCACTTAACCACATCGCAGAGTGCCACATCTACTTGTTTTTTGAACACTTCCAGGAATGGTAACTCCACTGCTTCCCTGGCAGCCTGTTCCAATACCTAAACACTCTTTCGGTGAAGGATTTTTTTCTCATATCTAACCTGAACCTTCCCTGGCACAACTTGAGTCTGTTTCCCCTTGTCCTATTGCTAGTTGCCTGGGAGAAGAGGCTGATGCCCACCTTGCTACAACCTCCTTTCAGGTAATTGCAGAGAGTGATAAGGTCTGCCCTCTCCAGATTGAACACGCCTAGCTCAGCAGCTCTTCATAAGATTTGTGCTCCAAACCCTTCACCAGCTCCGTTGCCCTTCTCTGAACTTGCTCCAGCACCTCAATGTCCTTCTTGCAATTAGAGACCCAGAACTGAACACAGGATTTGAGGTGTGACCTTACCAGTGCCAAGCACAATGCCAGGCAAGGTCATTGCCCTGGCATCATCCAGCTCACAGCACAGCTAACCCAAATGAAACCACTACACATATTATCATCTTTCATGCTAAACTATGTAAAAAGTAGCTTCTTTTTCATTTGGAGAGCCAACTGGGTCCAGTACTCACCTGTTTTATATTGGGTTTTGACACACAGTCTCAACCCATCATAACTATTCTATGATTCTATGATTTTATATTACTCATCTGTCAGTACTTACCTAATAAAATAATGTGGAAGATAAATGGAAATATGGTTCAGAACAGGAGATAAAACATATAGATAGGAGGGGTGAGTTCCTTTTGACATATCTGTTCAGGAGTTGCTCAAAAGTGAAGCAGCCAGTAAAATAACACACTGCAATGAAGCACATGCCTTTTGAAAGGAATATACTCACTGTTTCTGCATCTACAAAAAGGGTGGGACATTCTGAACATGATGTTAACATCTGAGAAGACCTCACAAACTTGGAGCCTATTCCTCGCAGGTTATCTCCCAAGTAACTAGCTGCATCACAGGTTAGGAAGCAGAATCTTTTCTGAATATTCTGGAAAGCAAAATACAGTTTATTATATTATTTACTCAACTATGAGCTTCTTTCCTCTGTAAACGAATGGCTTGGTTGTTATTCTTTGCACAATAATGTACAAAAGAGACTATCTCCCTGTGGAGAACTGAATGTCTGCTCTAGGATACTGACTAACAGTTATTATATTGGAGACAGTGTACAGCTGGGCAGCTGTGAAACTAATTACAGAGTTCATCACAATCTACTGAAATACATTCTTTCTCGTAAAGATGAATCAAATTTCATAAAGCCTTTTATCCACAGGTAGCGTTTTTTTTTCTTGTCTATGCAGAGTTAACAGAGTTGATCAGCACATTACTTTATCTGTCCATTCCAGGCATTGTTTTGTTAATATTCCATGTCAAGTGGCTAATCACATAACATAATGGACATTCTAATGCCAAACAGCATCATGGAAAAATCAGAAAAAAACTTTTGTTTTTCCCTGTGGGAAAAAACTTCTTAGTAAAACTTCACTGCTTCTTGGGAGTACTCTAGAAATACTGCACTGCATCCGGGAATTATTCTTCTCAGTAGATATTCTTGGTGTTTTGAGTTCTAAACCAGTCTAGCCTTCCAGAAACATTCTAATGCTTTTCAGTGTCTAATATATGAAGTGAATAATAAATAAAAATAACATATAATCTTGCAGGAACTGAAATAATGATACTGATAAATACACAGTAGGTTTCACTGCCCAAATATATCTCAGTGAATCCTAGTGCTCAGCAGGTGGGAGTAACATAAAAGTATTTTTAAAAATAAAAGTATGCAACATTTCTATTTGATTCATTCGAAGTTACCATAGGCATTTTTCTGAGGAACGTAAGTTAGGAACCATACTATCACAAGCATGCCTCACTGAAGAGGAGCACTTCCCAAATACCAATCTGGATGATAGACACAGATAACAGGTGCCTGTTATTGCTCCTGCACTGGTGCAAGTTAAGTATCTAAAATCAGGTGAGTTGAATTCAGACTTTATTGATAATGGAAGCTGTTGGATTGAATGATTTTTTAAAAAATGCTAGATAAGCCCTCACATTGTACAAAGGCTTTACACTATCAATGACTTATAAAATGGTCAAAGTCCCTCTACTGACCAATTTCATAATTACTTATTTGTGAATCTCTCTCGAAAGCATCTGAACTGCCCATCAGAACACAGTTAAGATCAGATACACTGATACTGCTCTTACTATGTGTTTCTACCACCTCACTTCAACACAGAAACAAAGTGCTATACACCTCACTCAGCTCATGGCACAGATTCTCTGCTGCACTGAGTCTGTAGTAGAGGCAAGGGTTTAACCAGATAAATGATTATTTTTATAAGCAACTATCAGAATCATCTGAATCACGGGGCTTGGTGACAGTTGGAGATTTACTGAAAAGAAAGAGTCAGTCCAAATCTTAGTGAAACTGTTGCTGATAACCCTTTTGGCAAAGGAAAGAGATCTACATTTGATACTAACCAAGAGAAAAGAGATATCTGAGAACATAAAAATGAAAGGAAATTTGGAAAGACAGATTACGAAAGAAAATCCAAGAAACACTCTTTGAAAGGGACCTGTGGAGAACATCTGATCCAACCTTCAACTGAAAGTGGAACTATTGCTGACCCCAGATCATGTCAGCCATGCTTTTGACTAGCTGAGTCCTGAAACCTCCAAGCTCAGAGCTTTCTCAAGGCTCTGGGTAGTCTGTTTAGGTGCTGCAATGCCCTCCTGAGGAAGAGTAATTGAGTTTATAAATCTGAGGCAGTGAAGGAGACAGATTACAGAAATAATACAAACGATTTCAATGCATTCAGAATTTGCATGAAAGAGCCCCTTAGAAATAACTTAATGGAGAAAGAAGATAATGAGAGGTAGTGATTCCTTTAGGAGAAAAAAAGAAGGCATAAGCACATTCTATACCACTAACATAGAAATATATATTACAACATACAACTGGCTAAATCACAAATATTTCATCTGGGCAAATACTCGTGAAAAAAAAGTACCACAAAAAATGAAACTGCACTGAATTGCTATGTGGGATATCAAAAGTAGTATGGTGATGTAGGCACAATAATCAGAGAGGGAGATGCCAAATAAACTAGCAAGAGAAAGGACAAATATCAAGAAGTATCCTAGAAATAATTAAGAGGAAGGCCAAGGAATCACAATGGAGAGAAATAGCTACTAATAGATGCTACTGAAAAGACTAATGTGTTTCATGCCTCCTTTTGCCTTATTGCTTCCAGAAAGGGCATCTGTGTACAGGTAGAAATGAGACATCTACGAAAAAGCAGGTGAGAACAGATCTTGCTAGCTTGGATGTTTATACATCTTTGCAGATCAGGGAAATTAATGCTATGATAGTTATAATACTGGGTAAAGAGGTATAGGAGCCATAACAAATATCTTTGAGAACTCACAGAACACAGCATTATTTATGAAAATAATTTCCTCAGAGCATTTAAGTCATGGCTTCATCAAAAGCCGACCAGTCTACTATTTAGATTCAAGACATAATATTCTTCCCTTACTCCTGTCCTTTTCAGATATTCATAAAAGCAACAATCAATCTACAGCTATGATGATAATGGTCTTGAACAGTGTTTTAAAGTATTTCATGTGAAATTTTGAGGGTCCTTACTTCACTATCTATGTATAGTATTTCATATATATTTGTTTTGCAATTACATGGACTAACAGTTCTGTAATAAATTATCATCTCAGCTATGACCTTCTGGGTGCAGATT